TAGTGAAAAATAAACAGGTTGAATACTGATATTTGATTGCTTCTCTAATATAAATATAGTATTTTGTCAGAAATATTTACTGTCATTCATTGTCATTAAGATAGTCATATAGTAATCAAGTATACGTTAGAGTGCTGGAATAATGTAATGACGGCCTTGATGAAATTGCTGAAAACAATAGTTCATTTGATTAATTAATAGGGGTCTGGAGAAGACACAGAAGGGCTTTGTGATGTCATTGAAGCTATTGCAGAAGTTTTCAAGCTGACTGATCCTTCACTGCTTTATTTAGAAATCTCAACTTTAGTTAGTAAACATCCTGATATCAGGTAATATCTTATGGTAATGCTTCTAGAATTGAAATTTCTGCAATATTTATTTCATGGTCATGAGAGCACTTTACAAAACTTGGGCAAAGTCTCTAGCTTTGATTTTTTTTCCCCCTTTACACAAAAGTGTTTAAATCAAAGGTAGGGACTGAATATACAGAGTTCTTTGTTATTTCAATTTTTCGGATAACATAATATGTAAGCATGTATAAAATAATGTTTGTTTTAAAAAGTATTGTTTATTTTTTCAATCTAAAAAGCCAACTTTGCTATTTTTTCATAAATTAAGTATGATTTTCGTATAGGGTACACATATAAGCCCTTTAGTATTTAAATTTTATGGAGATGCATGCTGGGTAGCTGAATGGGTGGATGATAATTATTTCCCTACATACAGTATTACTTCTTCTCTGCAGAATGTGCCTCACTGCTATTTAAGCTTCCTTTGTTGAAAGTGGGCACCTGAAAGTAAAGCTGATTGGATCAGGAAAGATTGTGCCAGGTGGGATTGGTTGGGGGGCAAAATCAGATGGTATTTAAATTTCTCATTGCATGGCAGATTTAAAAAAAACTACTTAAATAAATTTGGAGTACTAGACATGGGAGGGTTACAGAAGAAGTACAGCCATTGCCTGGATCTCCTGTTAAGATTACGTATAAGACAGATCAATTGCATGAATACAAGTAGTCCTCGACTTACGATGGCAATTGGGGCCAGAATTTCTGTAGTTAAGTGATGCGGTCATAAAGCATGACTGCACTGCTTAGCAACAGCAATCCCTGCAGTCCCTGTTGTTAACTGAATCCCATGGTCATTAGGTGAGGCAACTTCCTGCTGTCTTCCCACAACCAAAGTCAGTGGGGAAGCCAGCAGGAAGTTTTAAGTCCCAGGCCAGCAGGCAGATAAGTGGCTGCTGCAGGGTGGGGGAGGGAGCAAGGTGGTGTGGCACGGGTTGGGGAGGGGGTGCATGAGAGGCACAGGTCAGGGGGGGTACGGCGAGGTTCAGGGAGGGTATGTGAAGGTACAAGGAGGTATGCAAGAGGTGTGGGTCGGGGAGGATGCAGAAGGGTGTGTTGAGAGTCAGGGAGGGGGTGCAAGTGGCCAGCACAACACGAGCGCAGTGGGTTGGGGAGGGTGTGCATGTGGAGGAGACTTACAGCAACTAGTGACCTTCCTTGCCAGCTACCCCATTGACTTTCTGGGAAAGCCAGCAGGGAAGGTTGCAAATAGCGATCACGTGATTGTGGGGTACTGCAACTGGTCATAAGTGCAAACCGGTTGCCAAGTGACCAGATCGCAGTCACGTGACCACAGGAGTGCTGGGACAGCTGGAATCTGAGGACCGGTCATAACCATCATTTGTTTAGCACTGTCAAAACTTTGGTTGCTGAATGAATGGTTGTGGGTTGAGACTAACTGTAAAGATTTAATAAATATTAGGTGGGTGTGACTGAAATCCTTCCTTACCCCTATAGGCCTGAAGTACAAGATAAATATAGAAATGAATTAAACAGACTAACTGATGGGTAATTAATAAAAGTATAATCATTATATCTGGCTTATAGAAATGGCTTTCCTAATTAAAAGTGATTTTTAAAAATTGTCTGGTAAGCTCAGTTTATATGAACTGACAAGAAAATCTTTAGTGCAGCATGCATGGTGTGAAAAATCAGTGGTGCCAACTGCTTTTTTTCCATAAGTAGGATTTTTACTAATGCTGCATTATTCTGATTGGCAGAGATGACCATATTACAGCTTTATTGACAATGAGAGGAGATGCCAGCAGAGAGATGAAGCAGACCATCATTGAAACTTTGGATAAAGGCCCAAGCCAGCCAAATCCAAACTATGTGCCAATTTTTAAAGAAATTACGGTTCCAACACTAACTGTGCCAAAGCTTCTTAAGTAATAGCAATAGTTCTGTATTACTTTTCATGTCAAAATCTGGAATTTTTTTAGCTTAAAATGCATATAGAGAAAACATGAATTTCTTGCAAAGCTTCTTTTTTTCTCCTGTGTTAGCATTTGTAACAAGATGTAAGAATAGCTAAATCAGTCACTGGAAAAATATACAATATTCTGATATTTTGAAATTGCATTTTCACCATTATCAGTGGATTTTTCCCCCTTGCATATTCCCCTCAAACTTTTTGTGTGCACTTCAGGAAGTATAAAAGGGGTCATCGTATGTCTGGATTGGGTAAAAAATTGAAAGCAACAGTGTTTTTGAGGTACATAAATTATCACTAGATTTGAAAAGAGACTTGTGTTAAGTGATTGCTTAATAAATAAAATAGTAATGGTGCTGGATTTTTGAATTGTGTGCAGATTGTTCAGATGCCCTTTTATGAAACAAACATTTATCTGCTTATTATAAAAATTATTTCTGTAAAGGAAGGACAAATGGAGGCAAGAGTGAAAAACTATATTACAAGTAGTCATCGTTTAGCGACTGCAATTGGGACCAGCAACTCTGTCATTAAGCAAAGCAGTTGCTAAGTGAAAATCACATGATCACAACTGTGCTTACCATTTTACTTCAGTTTTCCTTTGCTTCTTGCTACTTCCTTCAGCTGAACTGGGGTTCTTTCTCTTTCAGGACATCTTGGTATAGGGTAAATAAGCAAGTGAAAATAAGAACAGAGAGATGCTGTGAAGGTCATAAATGCAAGGACTGGTTGCTAAGTTGCTTTTTTAGCACCATTGTAACTTCAAACGTTCACTAAATGAGGCAGTTGCTAAGTGAGAAACATACTGTAGTTTAGAATCATAAGGGACAATTTAGGATGTCAATCCAAAACCTTGCTCAGTGCAGGAATCCAAATGAAAGTTTCCCCAATAAATATCCACTCAGTTTCTGCTTGAATATACCCAGCAAAGGGAGGCCTATAATCTCTCTAGATTATTGGTTTCATGGGCAAACTGCTCTTAACAAAATGACTGCCATTGTGGGGATACCCAGTCCCAAAATCCCAGTTTACATATGAAGTAAGGCAACTGGTGTGCTGTAACTTGTGTGACTAAATTGAGCAGCAAACCACTGGTCAAGGGGGGTGTAATTTCCCTCTCTTCCCTCCTCATTTTTGGCAAGAAACAAAATGAAAATAGTTGTTGGATACTTTAATGAACCAAAACTTAATTTAAAATACTTCAGAGTGCCCCTCAAAACCTCGCATACTTCCATGATGTCACTGCCTTACCCATAGTGATTAAGCACTTAAAAAAAATGAAAGGTACAGTCTTCAGCTGCTGAAGTTTACCACTACACAAAATGCATCAACTGGGTCTTAACCCATAATTTTCTGATTCAACAGAATGGGACTCAGGGTTATGTTTATATGGTTCACATAAGGCAGGTGGTTCATTCAGTAAACCATGAGCTAGTGTGTGTATGAATTTAGACTTGGAGTGCATGAGTATAGGTTCCAGAACAGCTGAAATAGTGTGTGTTCATCAGTTCACATGGCAAGGGTCCCTATCAATATGTTAAGACTGATGGCTGAATGTACATAACGTGCTGAGGAATGGTTTGTTTAATAATAATTAAGTGAATAAACTACACTGTCTAGATCATACAGAACAAGCCATGTATCAGTTTAGTGTGTTGTGTGAACCTGTCTTCATATGTAGGATTCCTTCATTCCCTGAGTCAATGGTCAGAGTTGCACATATCACTGGCTTTTAATGCAATATAGTGAACCACAAACTTGCCTTGAGTGTCATGCAAACATAGCCAGTAAAGATGAATTTGTGGTTCAATACTTGTGACAAACCATGATAACTCTTTGCATAGCTTGCTAAGCCAAATCAAATCATATGGCCTAATTTATCCAAGGCAGCAAAGAGTGTTTCTTGGTCCCAAAATCTGGCTGCAATCCAGGCAGCTGGCAGCAAAGCAACACAGAAAAATTCCTTGCTGTCTTCTATCTGACAACCTGATACTTGCAGCCCAGATCTGACACCTCCAAAGGCTTCCTAAACCCCTAAACCAACATCTCAAACTTGGCAACTTTAAGAGGTGTGGACTTCAACTCCCATGCTGGCTGGGGAACTCTGGGAGTTGAAGTCCACACATCTTAAAGTTGCCAAGTTTGAGAGAGACTGCCTAAACGATAAACTAATCGCACATCAGGGTTTGACAACAGTACGTCATACTGTGTATAGTTAGATTTAAATAAGTAGTAACCATCTGTAAGAGGGGCTGGTTCACACAACACACTCAGGCCAAGCCAATGTTTTAGCTAATCACGCTTGGCTGTGTTCAGGCGACATCTTCGAGCACAAAAAAGCACTGCAGAAATCGGCTTCGAAGCGTCCTTTTAGTCCGGCCCCCTTTTCAGGACTCCAACCAGGAGCTTCGTCTGAAAATCGCCCGCCCGCCGACTGACTTGGGTGCGTCAGGATTTGTGTAAGAGAAGCGGAGGTGGCTGGTTCCTCCTTTTCCACCGCAGCTCGGACTGAAACCCGGAACTGGTTCTGGGAAGAGCCACTTCCATAAGCGAGCAAGGGTGGGGTTGGTTTTTTTTCTTTCCGCAGCGAGGCTGGTGCGGGCATGGCGGCGATGGGCATGCCCGACCCGAGCTTCTTGTGGGGAGTCTTCCAAAGGTGAGTCTGCGAAGTTTCTCTTCTCGGCCTCTCCTCCTTCTCAGGGAGAGGACTAGTAAGGCGGAATCGGGGAAAGTGCCCTTGGATCCCTCCTTTCGCGGCGGGAATTCTGGGTCTGGATTTTCTTTGCTCCTGATCTTGTCCCGCGTCGTAATTAGAATACTTTCTTGTGTTTGACTTCAGGGTTGATAAGGATCGTAGTGGTATCATCTCCGACACCGAGCTCCAGCAAGCACTTTCCAACGGTAGGATATCCTCTCTACTTCCTAGAAGTGCTGCTCTGGTGACAAGCACGCCAGTTGCGTTCACGCAATGCCGTTTTTAATGTTTCACTTAATCATACTGCGTTTGGTTAACCAGTTTGTTGAGTTCGTGTATATTGCTAGGTTCAAATGTAGTTGATTACTTGGTGCTTTAGTGTGTCTATCAAGCTAAATAATTTTTCTAGGAAAATATGGAGGCAAAATTCCATGTTTTTATTATTTTTATTGTGAATTAACTAGGGATTGTTGAGCTAAAAGAGTACACCTTGCTGTTCTCAAAAAGCTAAAGAGGGCAGATCTGGTTATTTCCTAAAGGGGAACCACCAGGAATTCCCGAGATTAAACTATGATGTCAAAATAACATTCCTCAGGAAGGCAATGACAAACAATTTCCTTGTTGCTGCTAAGAAAACTTTATAAGTGTGTCATAGAAGGCAAGTTCAACTTCCGGGAAACTTTACTGGTGTAAATTTAAAAACATTTTTGCCTGAGGTAGCCTGACTTGAAATAGAGATATGTGTGAAAGGGAGGCAATTCAAAATATTTAGTTGAAACAAAGCAGTTAATTGTTATTCACAGAAAGGGGGGGAGTCATAGTGATTTTAAAGAACAGTGAAGCAGTTGAGTATAAAGATGTAGACAAACTTGTGAAAGCTTGATTCTTATCACAAGTATAATAAGGATTTAGAAGAGTTCTTAAAATTTGTTATAGAAGCTGAAGGGTTTTGCTATGATATTCTATGATTCAATTAAAGCAAAGGTATATTAATCATAAAAATACTGAATATTGATTTCAGGTTATATATAACTGAAATATTACAAAAACACATTCTTTTTGTATTCCATTAAAATACAGTGAAGAAAAAATTGAAATGATATGGTTTTCAGTTTGTGGTGAATTGTATGTTTGTAAAGCAAGAATTGCAGAAGGTTTGTGATAATGAATTGAATCAAGTGCAAGAAGCAACTTTTCTTTGTGTTTTCTCAATTCAGATATAAGGTTATTTCACTATATAATTAAAATATTAAGTACTAGTTTATTATTTTGAAAGTTATAACAGTATTCATTACAACAGATGTCAGAAGGTGCTGCTGATAAAGTCATGAACTTAGGCAACTGAGGTTCTTCTGCCTATTGTGATTATATTTAGTGTTATTAATCCTCACTTCTTTTTGTCTACTTCCCAGTGTTTTAATAGGATTTCTTTCGTGTGATGGTTTCTGTTTCTACACAACAGTTAAACTTGAGACATAATCACACTATATTGTCTACAGAGGTATATGAAAAGGATATACTTGTTTACACTATCATATCTGAAAATCACAATTTTTTAAATTTTGTGGCAGAGGTGAAAGTTGTATCTTTCAGCATCCTTTCATGCATGTTCAGAAGGGGGTGGAGCTTGCATAGCAATGTTGTCTACCTTCTTACCAATTTTGGACACTGATACCCCCATGGATGCTGTTGAAATGACCTGTAATATCCATACAGTGTTTCTTATGTGATTCATAGGAGCAGCATTATTCATCTCCATTCAGAATACTGTTGACAGAATTCAGTGTGTAATGTAGCTGCAAAAAAAAAAAGCAAATGCATCAGCAGAGGGCTCATTTCCAAATCATGGGAAAGTAACAGTTCTAGTTTCTTCTGTGATGCTGAAACTCTACCTTCAGTGTTGTATTCAATACTGGGCACCATATATTAAGAATGATTCAAGCAAACTGGAAAAAACCAGTGCAGAGAAATGAAAAGTGATTGAGGACTAGAAATTATAAAGAGAGACTGAGGTAACTAGGAATAGTCTTGAGAAGATAGAAGGAGGTGGGAGCAGAATGGGATAGCACTCTGCAGTAACGTGAAAGGATGTTATTCAGAAGATTTTCACTTTATCATCACAGAGGGCAGGTCATGGAATAATGGGTTTAAGTTACAGGAAGGCAGATTCCAGCCGATTATTAAGAATTTTGGGGTCTGTTTTGCTATTCTCCACTGAATTATTTACAACAAATTGTTTATATTTTTGTTTGCTAGTATGTGTGTTTGCATGTTGGGCATGTGTTGTTTATTCTTGTGAATTATCTGTGTAGAACTATGTTGGAATCATAGAATAGGAAAAGGGTATTTAGACTGTCTTGTCCAACCCCCTACTTAGTGCTGAATGCAAATAAGAGCATCCAAGTCAGATGGCTCTTTAACCTCCACTTGAACACATACAATGAAGGGAGACCACCATCTCTCTGAGTAGTTGGTTCCATTGTCAAACTATGTGTTACTGTTTCAGCATGATTAAGAGGGAACAAGTTTTATTATATGAATTTAAATATATATGTAAATATATTCATATTTTTCTAATAAAATATTTGATTAGGATTTTGCTAAGGCATCATTTGGGCATGAAATAGAGATACTATTAATGAAAAACTTTAGCTTAAAATTGCATTGTTTCCCCTTGCATAGTGTTATTCTTTGAGGGTTGAGAATGAACAAATTCCCTGGCAGCTGTGCAAACTATGAAGGATTTAAGAAAAGATGGATTCCATCTTTAATAAATATTCATTGGAACTTATACCAATGGTGATGTTGATTTCTATTGCATCTTTACAACAAAATGCTGATATCATAGACCCCAGTTTTAATTTAGAAGATATAGAACAACAGTTAATATTACAAAAACATTAGAAGTGTATAAAGAGGAATTGAAGGATAGGAAGATCAAGACATTCAGAAGGAATTATTTTACTTATATAATTGGGTAAATACTTGGAAAACTAAGGATATATTTTAAAAAACCACTTAGGGTTAGGGAATTTCCCATATTCTATCTGATTTAATCAACTGAAGTACAGGTAATCCTCACTTAACCATTCAGTTAGTGACCATTCAAAGTTACAACGGTGCTGAACAAAGGGACTTACAATCAGTCCTCACACTTACAACCGTTGCAGCACCCCCACAGTCACATGATCGTGATCCAGGTGCTTGGCAACCAACTCACACTTACGACAGTTGCAGCATCCCGGTGTAACGACCTGACACCTACATCTCCCAATTCCAGTAACTCTCCTGGCAACCATAATGATTCCAAAAGAAAGTTCACTTATTGAGAATAAGTGCAAAAGCTCTTACCAAAGAATTGCTAAGACTGAGCCTGCGTGCGCCAAAAGTTGCTTTTACCTTTTTTCCTTCTTCCCCCCCCTCGCCCCCCCGACGCCATAGTCTTCTCACATTCTCCCGTTGGTACGACCTTGAGCATTCCATTGCCTGTGATAAGGGTCCATCTGCCTCCAATGGTCTGTTCCTCCATTCATCTTCCCATAACCTTCCATCCCCCCCATGTCTTTTAATGGCAGAACCGAAGCAAGTGAAAGCCAAGCCAATAATTACCACAATTAATATTTTGTGAGGATTCTGACACCCGGGGTCATATTATCACCATTTGTGACTCAGCTGGCTTCTGGCAAGCAAAATCAATGGGAAACTTGTGATTTGCTTAACCGTGTGTTTTGCTTAATGGCCGTGGTGATTTGCTTAATTACCACTGCAAAAAAAGGTCATAAAATCGGGCACGACTCATTTAACAACTGCCCTGCTTAATAACAAATGTCCCTATTGTGATCGTTAAGTGAGGACTACCTGTATGTAAAGCCGAAAGAAAGAAAATTTCCCATCTAGTGGGCGTGGGAGGAGGGGTGAATACTTCATCATTATTTGCATGGTTGTTGGGAAACCATTACTGGAAACTTGAAGGAAGGATTGTTGGATGTAAGGAAAAAGAAACCTGTTAAGATATTTTTCTTAACTATGGTTTCCTGAACAACTTTATCCTGTTACCTCAGGATATACATTGTGGAGTGTGCGTTGAACAGGCATTGATGAGACAGGCTACCAGTAAGTAGTTTTACTACTCAGTTCAGTGAAAGATACCTTCAAAGTAATTGCATCTGGCTTATCTGCTTCTTCAGCCTAGGAACTGCAGACAGAGAGAGCTATAAAAATCCTCACTGCTACTGCCTTTTGAGTCATAGCTGGAACCTGCTCTGGATCCCATTGCTGTATATACATTACACAGATACATACATTTTAGAACTGGAGCAGATTTGAAGTCATAGGCTTCAGATTTGCCCAAGTGAGCTTAAAGGGGTAAGGAAGGGAAGATATGGGTATTAAAGAACGTTTGTAATGTTGAATGTATGTGTCACATCTTCTTGATTTATTTGCAGTTTCACAATATTAAATAGGGGGACGCGGTGGCGCAGCGGCTTAATGACGCTGAAAGTTGCTGG